ACTTTGCTGATGAATAAATGTCACTGTTGTTCCTAGCTGCGCCTTCTTTCAGTTGCATCCAGCTCACCAACTGGTCCCTTAAACTCTGCAAACAGAGCCATACTGATTCCTGCTATTATAACTTCCAGACTGGAGTAGTGTAACTCACTCTACATGGAGTTGCCTTTGAAGAACTGAAAGCTTCAACTGGTATAAAATATGGCAGCAAGAATCTGTCTGGGTTCAGTCACCTGGAACACCTAACTACATTGCTCTGTCAATTGGACTGGTTACTTATATGCTTCTGGGCCCAACTCAAAATTCTGGTTAACCTTAAAGCCTTTTATGGCCAAGGGCCCTCAGTTATTGAACCGCATATCCCTGAATATTTCCACTGCCAGCTGCATTCATGAGAAAGTGTTCTCCATAGGGTACCCTCTCTTAGTACTTTTCGTTTGGCAACAGTCAGGCTGCAAGTTTTACTCCCCTGTGGCCACACCAATCTTTTGGAATGTTTTACCAGAACAGGTGGAGGGCATTTACACGTCCTACATTCAGGAAGGCATGAAAAAAGGCTGTCTTTCAAAGAGAACTGAGCAGAAAGTAAAATCTTGAAGACTTAATTGTACTGTTTTTATGCATTGCTCTTTTTGTCTTGATGATGAATTACTTCATGCTTTGTTAGCTGTCTTGAATCTAAGGAGATCAGGCACAACCGAAATATGACGTTAGTCTTAGACTAGGATCTGGGATGCTCAGGTTCAAATCCTCACATTGCCCTAGAAACTTACTGCATAACCTTGGGCCAGTCACACAAACTCAGCCTAACCTACCTCACAGGGTTATTGTGGTGATAAAATGGAGATGGTTGTAAACCACTTTGGGGCCCCATTTATAAGGAAAGTGAAGTAAATAAATAAGTGAAGTAAATAAATAAATCCTCTATCATGGGGGGGAACTTACAAATATAGGTTGCACAATAATTACATGATTATCAGCATCTACCCCAACAAGAGCTGGCAATTTTCTTGAAACTCAAAAACAATATTGGAAATGTAGTGCCTCCCTATGATGTTTAAAGTATCTATCAACTAATGTAAAACTTAAGATAAAAACATTATGTTGGTAAATAGGCACCTTTTTTTGTGGATTTTCTTTGGCCTAACAGCATCAAAGCTAGACCACTCCAAACAAATGGGGAGAAAATATAGCTAAAAATACATCAAGCTAAGCAAAAAACCCCAAACAGAAGGGTGTCAGTATGAAACAGTTCTACAAGTAGATGCAAATCTAATTTGTTAAACAAGTAACCAGATTTCAAAAAACATTACAGTAGGCATGCTGGTCCATCAGAGAAGTTTACTGTACTTTACTGTACTTCATCTTTCTGCAGAAATCTTCTATTTCTAAAGGTTCATAGTTTTACAAAGCTAACAACAATGGATGGATGCCATTATCAATAAAATATCAGGCTAGCTAGGCACTTCAAAGCTGTAATTACCGTTTTTCAGGTGATTATCCCTAGGAATTGTGAGATACGTGTATGTTTAATGTTATTTAAGCCACAAACATATACAATAACCCAAGTTTTAAAAATCAAGTTATGAACTCAGTTGATGGGCTATACCGGTCAAATCAATACCAAAGCTAAAATCCTTATCTATGTTTCCTCTCCCTTGGTGCAAGCAATACTGTAACCACCAATCAGACATGAACAAGTAACTCTAAGTGATGATGTATCCCAGTAACCACTATGGACAAGGGTTAAATTCTGTTGAAACAAATGATAGGACAGGCACTTGGACGGTATATCTCTTAGTTTTTAGGTATTTGTTGATATCTGAATATACTGTTAACATAAGGTACTTTAAAAAAGATTTATGAAATAAGGGCTGCGGGCTTCCGGTCTGGCTAAGATGGAGGACTGAAGCGTTTCGCGATCGTGCGAAGCGAGCGACGGCCACTTTCGACAGTTTGGGCAATATACAGCCCAACGCATCACTCCCCAGCGAGGGGGGGGGACAAGCAGGCAGCAGCGCCCTAGAGGGAGTGTGAGGTTGGCGTAATCCAGCTTCGGAAGAAGCTGAATTGGGCTTTGACCTCCTCCCACGAAGAAGGCAAGTGCCAAGCAACTCTATAGTGGCCGATCGAGCCGGGCTACCGGCATAAATTCTTCGTCAGCAGACTTCTTTGAAGAAGGACAACAACTGTGAGTTAAAAGAAACAATGCAAAACCCGTTTTGAACGTGCTAGATAACAAAAACGTGCCGCTTACCTGAACTGAGTTTGGAGTCAATTTGAATTAAGCGGTTGAGCGGAAAATGAATAGTAAATCCCAGAAATCCGATTCCGGAGAGAAAAAAAGTTGATTGAAGCCTTTAAAAACT